TTTGTGCTTCTAATTTACTTCACTAACATTACGGTCTTCAAGGGGCATCCATTTTCCTACAAATGACTCAAGTTTATCCTTCTTTATGGCAGACTAGTATTCCACTGTGGATAAATATCACATTTTCTTTATCCATTTACCTGTTAATGGACATATAGGCTGCTTCCAAGATTTAGCTACTATGAACTGAGCTGCTATAAATATGGATATGCATTTATCACTGTAATATGGTGTTGTAGGTCTTTCAGGAAGATACCTAGAAGAAGAATGGCTAGGTCGAATAGAATTTCTTGTTTCAGTTTTTTGAAGAATCTCCATACTGATTTCTGTAGTAGTTATACAAGTTTTCATTCTACTAACAGCAAAGATGATTCCTTTTTCCCCATAGCCTCTGTAGAATTTGATTTCTTGATGATGACCATTCTTTCTGAAGAGAGATGGAATCTCACTGTTGTTTTAATTTTGTATTTCTTGAATGGCCATTGATGTTGAACATTTTTTTATGTAGTTGTTGGCCATTTGCATTTGTTCATCTGAGAAGTATCTACTCCTTTCAGATGCCTGTTTTTAATTAAGACTTTAAATTCAGAGACATCTAATTTTTTTTTAGTTCTTTATATATTCTAGATATTGTCTGAGGAATAGGAGGCAAAATTCTTTTTCCCATTCTATAGATTGTCCCTTTGCTTTATTGGTGGTTTCCTCTGCTGTGTAGAAAGCTTTTTTTAAATTTAATTTGTCCCCATTTGTTGATTCTTGGTATTATAGCTTGTGGAACCAAGGTTGTGTTCAAGAGGTTCTTGCCTACACCTATGTCTTCAAGAATTTTACCTGTTTGTCTTCCAGCACATTAGTGCTTCTGTTTTAATATCTAGATCTTTGATTCATTTTGATTTTAGATTAGTGCATGATAAAAGATATAGACCTAGGTTTAATCTTCAGCATGTGGGGCCAGACATGGTGGCATATGCCTGTAATCCCAGCACTTGGAAGGCTGAGGTAGAAGGATCATAGTGAGTTTGAGGCCAGCCTGGGCTACATAGTGAGTTCAAGGCAAACTTGAATTACAGAGCAAGACCCTGACTCAAAAAACAAAACAAAAACGTCTTCAGCATGTGGATAGCCAGCTTTCCCAGCATCATTTATTAAAGAGGCTCTCTCTCCCAGCAAAAATATTTGGTCCCTTTGTCAAAAATAAGAGAGCTGGGGCCAGAGATATAGCCCAGCGGCATAAGCGCCTGCCTGACAAGTGCAAGGTCCTGAGTTCAATTCCTGGTACTACAAAAAAAAAAAAAAAGACACAAAAATAAGACAGCTGAGTGTGCTTAAAGTTGTTTCTGGAGCGTCTATTCTGTCCCATTGATCCACAAGTGTGTTTTTGTTTTGTTTTGTTTGTTTGTTTTTACCAATACCATGATATTTTTATTACTGTAGCTTTGTAGTATAACTTGAAGTCTGAAATTGTGATGGCACATGCCTTGCCCTGCATGCCTTGCCCTTATTGATGACCAGAATTGCTTTTGCTCTTCTAACTCTCTTCTAGTTCCATATGAATTTTAGAATTGCTTTCTCTAGTTCTGCAAGAAATGCTATTGGCATTTTGATTGGGATTGTGTTAAATCTGTATAACATTTTTGGAAGTATGGCCATTTTGACTATACTGGTTCTGCCTATGCAGGAGCAGGGAATATCTTTCCATCTTCTAATATCTTCTTTGATCTCCTTTTCCAAAATAGTATAGTTTTTATTAGAGAGGTCTTTCACTTCCTTGGTTAGGTTAATTCCTATTTTTGTTTTTCTTTTTTTTTATGCTATTGTGAAAGATATTATTTCCCTAATTTCCCTGTCAGTGAGTTTATTATTGGTGTACAAGAATGTTATTGATTTTTGAGTGTTGACTTTGTATCCTGCTGTACTGCTGAAGTTTGTTATCATTCTATGTGTCTTTTGGTGGAGTTTTTGAGATCTTTTATGTAGGGGATCATGTTATTTGCAAATAATGATAATTTCAATTCTTCCCAACTCTTCTGTTTCTTTCTCTTGGCTAACTGCTCTGGCTACTATTTTGAGAACAGTAGCAGTGATACCAGACACCCTTGTCTTGTTTCTGATTTTAGAGAGAAAGCTTTCAATTTTTCTCCATTTAGTACGATATTGGCCATTGTTTGGCTGTCTGGCTTTTATCAGATTAAAATAAAGACCTATGTGTATTTTCTTTGGGATTTCTATCATGAATGAATGTTGGATTTTTTCAAATACTTTTTTCTGCATGTACTGAAATGATCATGTGGTTTTTGTCCTTGCATCTGTTTATGTGGTGTATTATATTTATTAATTTGCATATATTGAACTATTCCTGCATCCCTGCAATGAATCCTACTTGGTTATGATGTATGATCTTTATGATGATTTGCTGTTTTCTGTTTATCACTATCTTATTGAGGAGTGTTGCATCTATGAACATTAAAGAGATTTTACCTACAGTTCTCTTTTTTGGTTGGGTCCTTTTCTGGTTTTGGAATCAGGGTAATACTTATTTCCAGAATGACTTTGGGAGCACTGCTTCCCTTTTAATTTCATGAAAGACTTTGAGGAGTATTTGGTGTTAGAGCTTCTCTAATGTTCTTGAAGAATTCAGCAGTGAATCTCTTGGGACTCCAGATTTTCTTTGTTGGTAGTTTTGTGGGAGTTTTTATTAATTTTTCAATTTCATTGACTAATATTGGATTATTCAGGATTTTTAATTCTTGGTTCAGCTGTGGTAGTTGATATGTATAGAGGAATCTATCCATTTATTCTGAATTTTCCATTTTATTCAAGTATTGTTTCTCAAAATAGTTACAAATGATCTGGATTGTGGCAGAATCCATTTTGTTTTTCACATTTTCATTTATAATTTCATGGATTTTGGTCTTTCCTTATTTTTGATAAGATTGGCTAAGGGTTTGTCTATTTTGTTTATTCTTTCAAAGAATCATTTCTTCAATTCATTGATTCTTTGTATTGTTTTTTAGTCTCAATTTCATTAATTTCTACTCCAAGCTTTATAATTTCCTTCCTTGTGCAAGCTTTTGGTTTGTATTATTCTTGTTCTTCTAGGACCTTGAAGTGCTTCATTATTTATTTGAGCTCACTCTGTTTTTCTGATGTGGGAATTCACCACTATAAACTTCCCTGTAAGGACGGCTTTCATTGTGTCTCATAGGTTACAGTATGTCATACTGGCATTATCACTTGATTGCTGAAACTTCCTAATTTCTTCCTTAATTTCATCCATGACCCACTGATTATTCAAGAGAGTGTTGTTTAATATCCATGTGTTTGCATAGTTTCTATGGTTTATCTTGCCACTGATTTTACTTTCATTGCACTATGATCTGATAATATTTGTGGAATAACTCGATTCTTTTGCATTTACTTAAGCATATTTTAAGGGCTAGTATACAGTCTATTTATAACTAATCCTTTATTTTGTGCTCTTTCTTATGTATCTATACTGGTCCTTTCCCTCTCCCTTCCTACATTCCTTTAGTGCCCCGCCTTTTCCTGCTTACCAATTGTAAGATTTGAATTTATAACTTCCACTAAGGGAGTCACCTAAAACTTATAACAATGAGAGTAAAAACACTGCTCACTTTGTTATTTCTTCTATGTCTGTACATATGTACTTTCTTCTTCTAAATTAGTGTCTGAAGCTTCTTTATTCTCCTTCATATGTATTTCATTCAATATTTCCAAGAGTCAGGAATTTTTTTACTAGTGATATTTATGTTTGTAGGCCTCATTCATTATTTTTTGCTTGTATTTTTATAAATCCCTTTCTTCTACTTGGGAAGATTTATTTCACTATTCTTTTTCCAGGTTGTTGAATCAAAACAGTTTTGTTCCATTTCAGCCACTGGCTTTTGTTTTTTTTAATTTTGAGACAGAGTCTAGCTGAGTTGCCCAGGATGGCCTTAAACTTGCAATCCTCTTGACTCAGACTCCTAAGTGGGTAGATTTACAGGCACACTCCACTATGTCTGGCACTTTCTCTATATTTAATACATATTTTTTGGCTACATGCGTATCTTCCTATGAATTGCTTTAGAGCATTCATAGCATCAGTATGTAGTGCTCATATTGTTCATTTCCAAATCACTTGACTGTGAATTTGATTTTCTCTTAAAAGTCCAAAATTAGAGAGATGGTGAGAAAATTACATGTTTACACATCTTTTTAAGAATACACTTTTGTGTTCATTTCTGTTTTACCATGGTAAGAGAATTGCTCTTGTTTTGAATCAGCTGAGGTCTCACTTATGTGCAAACACTTTGTTCAAATTTGTTAATAATTCCACAAGCCTGCTGGGTGTGGTGGCACCTGCCTGTAAACCCAGCAGCTAGCAATGTTGAGGTAGGGGGATCACACATTTGAGCCCAGTGTGGGCAATTTAGTGGGGTAGGATTTAAAATTTAAAAATAAAATAAAATGGGCTGAGGATGTACCTCAGTGGGGCAGCGCTGTGTTCAATCACCAGTACCACAGAAATAATAAACATAATAATCCCAGAAGCAATTGTGAAATCCTAACTGGTGTCTCCATTCCCATTCTATTAATGATGGTGCTTCCTTTCCATGGTCCCTGTTGTCCTCACGCACTTGGTCACTGTGTATTCATGGTATTTGTAACCTGTCTGTAAAGGTGGCTTTTGCTTACTGTGGTGAAAGCAACAAATACCATACCACCAGTTTCACTGAAGGTTTTTGAAGCACTCAACAGACTGGGGTGGTTCAGTTCTATGAGGTATTGCTCCACTAACAATCCTATCTTTCAGCTGAGACTCAGAGAACAGAATAACGTGCCCAAGCTTACACACCTGTAAATAACAACGCCAGGCTCTTTATCAGCCCATCGGGCCCAAAATCTATTGAGTTCTCATGATGTCACTTCCTGCCCAAGTCTTCCTCCTGCCAACCAGGCCACTCCCTGCTCCAAACCCCCAGTAACCAGACAGTACGTAAGATATTTGACTATATTTCTATTCTTTTTACTTTAAAAAGAAAAAGCTGACAATAAGCTGCACACTGTACAAAATGTCATAGATTTCATTCTCCCCACCCCTATAAATTTCACAGTACATTCCTTAGTCACCATCATTTTCTCTCCCCTTAAAATGCTAGATGAAAATCCCCAAGAAAGTGAAGGCCTCTAGAAAGGAGGATTCTTAATACTTGATCTTAGCATTTCAAGGCATTGAGGAAATAAATTACGGCCGTGAAGGCTCTAGCTGGCTTTGCTGAGCTCTGTCTCACAAATCCAGTGGTGGAGCCTCCTGCAGACATCATCATTCCAGCTCCCATCTCCGGTGAAGTGGGCACAGTCCTCACCTCCTCCCAGCCCATGGCCATACCAGTCATCTGGCTGCTCTGGACTCCAGTTCCTGTAGACAAGAGAAAACCATACACACAAGGAAGTCAGTCTCAGCCCCAACCCCAGGAGTCTCTCTGAACACAGGGCCACCGGCTGGGAAGTGGGAAGAGTCCCAGATACAGGACACAGAGCCTCTGGCAAACAAACACACTCACTTAAAACCTTTGTCGACGTCAGACCCATCCACCCATTTCCAGGACCCACTTAGGTCAGTTAGGCCCATCCAGGTGTGTATACGTCTCATGTTGCTCTGGATAAATTTCTGGGGAGAGAAGAAGAAGATGGTGACCTCTCCCTTAGACCAGCCAGCCTCAAATAAGAGCCAGGTGGAGCCTCACCTGCTCCTCCAAGGAGTTCACTATCACCAGGTGGGCATTCTCCATCTGGCAGGACTTGTTAGCCTCATCCCAGGACTTCCCTGATTGAGAAAACCAGTAGCAGCTGCCTTCATGCTCCATCCAATTAAGGGGGCAGCAGGTCCCAGAGCCTAGGCAGGGAGAGGGAGGATGAAAGAGTTGGGGTGATGCCCAGTGGGCCACCAGCTATAAAGAGAGGCCAGCCACAGCCTTACTCCTCCTCACCATTGCTCTTGAGCTCAACCAGCTCACAAGACAGGGACCGCAGGTCTTTTACCAGCTCCTGGATTTGTGTGCGCATTTGAGACTGACCTGGAACAGAAACAGATGCGAGTAGGAACCATGCTCTGTGTGTAGTCTTTAGCGAGCCCTGCCCCTCAGGCATCCCGCACAGGACACAACCCAGGAACCTCACGCTCCCAAAAACACCATGCCCAGGTGCAGGGTAGCAGCCATCTGACCTTCTTTGAATTCCTGCTCCTTTTCCTGCAGAACGCTCTCCAGAGAAGCCACCTTCTGGTTCAAGATACGGCCTGGAGAGGAGGGAGCTCAGCACCAGGAAGCTGCCCTCCTGCATACCCACCCATGCACTATGGACACCAGGGTCTCTCACCTGCCTGCAGTTCCTCCCTGTGATCCTCCACCTCTGCTTTGAGAGAATTTATGGTTTTTTGCAGTGCACCACCTGGAAGACAAAGGGACTCCAGCTCAGGAGGCAGCCCCCCTTCCAGACCCACCTCACCCCAGTGCCCCTTTCAAGTATGGCTCACAGCTGGAAGTCAGTTGCTGGATGTTAGCCTCGTTATCTGAGAAGAAGTTGCTGAAATTTGTCCTCAAGGTGGCCAAATCTTTCCGTAAGTTAGAACCTGATGAAGGGAATGATCAGAATTAAGATTTGCCAGGTCCTCGCTTTACACACATTGTCTCATTTGGTCCTTACACTGACCCAGTGAGAATGAGACAGGCCCTGTTATTATCCAGTACTGCACACAGGGACACTAGTGTTTAGTGTCCTAGTTTAGGAGGTGATGTAATTAGACAACATGACCCAACTAATAAGTGACATGACCAGCAGCCATCCACACCATGGGTCTTTCGCTATTTCCACCGCTGTCCCCACCTCTGTTCTTATCCATTATCAACTATCCTATTATGGGCTCTCTGGCTGCTTGATAACAGTGCCATTGTCATAGTCCTCACTGATGTCCCATAAATACCCACTGTGCCCATCACTGCTCTTGCTACGGTTGTCACCATCACCCCAGCACTGCCTCACAACTGCACTCCCATGATTTCTCTCTTCCTGCCCTCCCCAGGCACCCACCTCGGTGTCCAATCACACAGATGACTACCAGCAGCAGGAGACTGAGGCCCAGGGAGATCAGGATCACGTAGGGCCCACGGCAGAAATTCCTGAGTACACTCTGGAGAGGTAGGGCTGAGAGAGAAGAGAGTATCATTCCAAGGAGAATCCAGGTTGTGATGGAGACAGGAGGAAAGAGAGCCCCAGGGACTCATCCAGGGTTGAAGACTGAGCCTTTGTATTGCTGGGATGAGAGCTGAATGAGGAGATTTTGGGGGAAAAGATGACCAGCCCTTTGACCAGCACAAGTCGTCAGTCACACAGATCTCTCACACTCCTGAAGACTTATGTACTCATCCCTGGGAACCCATATACATATAAGTATGCAGAGACAGAGACAGTTGGTGATACCTGAGGTCTTATCATCAGAGTCGGGGGAGGAAGCACAAGGACAGAGATAGTTAGGGAGAGACAGGTCCTTAGCTGGTTCACACACATCGGCATGACTGGGCAGACTAATTAATGAGTTTCCTCTCCAAACTCAACGCTGCAATCTCTCATGCCCTCCCCACAGAGCTCAGGAGAACAGGTCAAGGGAGATCTGTGTCTTTGTCTGTCTGAGGACCTTGAATCCTCTTCACAGTGGGCCCTCAGGGGAGCTGACTCATCCAGAATTAAAGACCCAACACTGTACGTGGTAGCAGAGCAGACAAGACATGACAGCAGATATCCTGCCAGGCATATTAACAGAGCACTTTAGGAGAGACTCTTTCCCCATTCCTTTTACCTTTTCTAATCTCTGGATTTTTCTTCTCACTCCCGAAGTCCTGAAAATTTTCATATTGCATGTCTATTCTTGGACAAACACACAGCCTCTGAGGCTGTCAGAGCTGAAATTAAGAGACAAGAGTCCAGGATAAAGCAAAGTTGGAGCCAAAGAGGAGGCTAGCAGCGTGTAGCTGAGGTAGAGTTAAGAATGAGCTCTGAATTAGGAGTATGATCACATGTGCCTGTGTTTGCAGCTGAAGGTAGAAATAGGGTCAGGTTTGGGCTGTGGGCTGGGGTTGAGTTGAGTGAAGTTGGAACTAAATTTATTTTTGTGCCTGAATCTACAATTGGGTTGGAGCTGAGGTTGAATTGCATGGCGGGATTGGCACCAGTACCCATGGTAGGTCATGGATGGAGTCAGATCTAAGTGTGGCACAGAAACTGGAAGTAGAATAGCATTGAGGTGTAATTTTGGGTTGAGGTAGGTGTTTAGATTCAAGTTGATTCTGAGGTTGAAACTGAGGTTGGGTTAAAGAAGGAGCTGAGTTTGGAATTGAGCTTAGGGCTCTGGCTAGAATTGGGATTGAAGATCAGATTAGAATTCGGCCAGAGATGAGCCTGTAACTTTTAGTTTGTGACTGAGGAATGTAATCGCTGTAACTCAATCTAGAATATATGAAGGAGAATAGAGTCTCAGGTCCCCATTGATAATTAAATTCCACTTTGCCCCCTCATATTTCTTCCAGTTACCCCCACCAAGACCCAAAGCTTCCCTCTCCCTGCTTCTTCTAACATTCCCGCCCCCTTCGTCTAGCTGACCTCACCAACCCAGTTACCTGTGGAAAGCACGAAGGCTGTGACCTGACTTTGTTGTGCGGGCAGGAAGGCCAAATGTAGGAAGTGAAGAACTAAATCCTGGGCAGTTGGGGTGGGAAGGGCCAAAGGAGGAGCCACACATGATGCGGTCCTGCTGATCTTTGCATATGGAAAGCAAAGTTCTGTAGCACTGGACGTCCCATTTCCTCAACTTGACACAGTACATAATAAGAATAGATTATAACCGGAACACATACAGAGATGTGGGAGGGGTTGGGTGTGGAGCCAGATTTTCTGTCAACCTCCTGGGTGTGTCCACTCACTTTCCTCTTTCTTGAAGTTCCCCTGACTTCCCCATTTTACCATGTGAGGAGCAAGCTGTTCCAAAAGGGAAGGTCTGTTTTTCTCCTATGCCCTATGTCTCCATTTACCTTCTACCTCTGAATCTTCCAGAAGTATTGGTGCTGCCATCCTTGACTCCCAGTCCTGGAGGAAGCCATGCTCTGCTCATGCTCAATCCTTGCCCAACTCTCTGGCATCTGAGCATCCTCTGAGGCCTTAAGCATCAAGCTCCCCAGCTTGACATTCACTCTTGTCACTCCAGTCAGGAGGAAAAAGAGCAACAGAGACTGACTTGTACTGACCAGGATGAGTCAATAAAAGGCACAAACTTTTATTAAGCGTCAAATTTTTGAGAAGACTTGTTCCAGATTTTCTTGAAATAGCCAATTGGTTCTCACAAGTGCCTCGGGATGCATTTCGGATGATACAAAGGAGATAACCAGGAGTCAAAGCCAGTTCTGCAGGTACCATGGGTGGGCTCTCTGCACACATACCGTCTTCACGAGCTGGGTCTTCTTCACAAGCTGGATTTTAGGTCATGCCATGTGCCTGCCAGTTCTCTCAGGGCTTCCCTGAGTCCATACACACATCCCTTGCAAGAGGAAGAAGCTCAAGTATGCAGACATAAAATAAGTGCATTGTAGAACTTATTTTTATGCACACAGAAATGTGTTCACTAGTTCTTTTTTAGAAATTGAACTAAAAATGTATCAGGGTCATTTCTCCACCTGAGTTCCTGAAAGGTAGTGTTCACCTGCATCTCATCTCATCATGTAGCCTCTCATTTATTTCCCTACCGGTAAACATATAGGTTTTCTCCAGTTTGATTTGGCTTTTGGTTTCATTCTTGTTTTTTAAGAGTTTGGTTAGTACATTGTTTGAGTTACCTTCTCATCATCACTGAGACATGGCTTGAAGGAGGAGGGGTTTATTTTTGTCCTCATTTCCAGTCCATCATTGGCTGCCTCCTGGGTAGAAACAGCAGAGTGGAGGGGCTGGGGTGGAAGACACCTGTTCGCTGCATGGAGGCCAAGAAGTAGAGAAAGAAGACAGGAGCCAGGGAGAGAGCTATGCCCTTCCTGTTCATCCCCACCAAGGACTTGCCTCTAACTAGGCCCCACTCTAACATCAAGGGAGCTATAGCACCTCCATGATCCAGGCACCTTCAGAAAGCCCCACTGCAGGCACATGAGAATTCTGGGGCTCACTCCTGATCTAAACCACAACATAAATGTTGCAGGTTGGTGCTACAGTTGGGAATGTTCTCAGACGACCCATGTATTAGATGCTTGGTTCCCAGCAGGTCACTACTGGGAGATGGGGAAATCTTAAAGAGGTGGGACTTAACCCTGGTATAGGGGCACATGTCTGTAATCCTAGCTACTGAAGATGGTGAGGCAGGATGATTGCAAGTTTGAGGCCAGCCTGGGCTATACAGCATGTTTAAGGCTGACCTGAACTATATAGTGAGACCCTGTCTCAAAAAAATAGAATAATTTTAAAAGGCTGGGGATGTAGTTCAATGGTAGAATGATTGCCTAATATGCACAAGGCCTTTGGTTCAATTTCCAGTAACAAAGAAAAAAAAAAGACAAGAAAGAAAGGTCTGGGATCTAGTAAGATGTTTTCTGTTCAAAAACACCACGCCATCTACATGGACTGTGGGACCTGAACCCCTTCCTCTTTCTCTTTCACTTCCTGGCCATGAGGTGAGAGATTTTATGCTATTAACACCCCTCCTATGATGTGCTGCTCACCACAGGCCCAAAGCATTTGATTCAATCAATCTTGGACTGAAACCGCTAAAACTGTGAGCCAAAGTAAACCTTTTCACTTTTTAAATTGATTATATCCTATTTGTTACAGTGATAGTAAGCTGACTAACACATTTGGGGTTTTGGAAGCTAATACTGAAATTGTATTTGGGGTATGAGCTAATTATTAGTATCAACACCTAGGAAAGGATGGGGAAAGAAGTAAAGCTGGGTAAGGAAGACTAAACATGACATTAGACTAACACGACATCACTCTGAACACACATGACATTTCAAGGTCTGAGGGCTTCCATACAAATTTATCTCCAGTGAGCCTGGATTATCCAGATGAAAAGCTAAAATTCTTTAAATGGGTTATTAGGTATCATGGTGAAGGGAGATACTACCCTCCTCTCTCCGTTGACTATACATGTGGCCATGGGGGAGATAGTGCCATACTGCCCACTGATTTGAGGCTTATCTTCACCAAAAGCCTGGGTAGCAAAATAAGAAGTGTACCCCAGCTCTAACCCTCAAGTTAGAGACAGCCATTCAACATGTGGTCTTTCAGAAATATTTCTGTGCATATTTAGGTACCTGAAAGCATTTTGTTGGGCCTCCATATCTGCAGATTCCACCAACCGTGAATGGAAAATATTTTGGGAAAAATTACATATGTACTGGTCATGTATGAACTTTTTTCTTTTAGTATTCTCTAAATAGAGTATGACAACAATTTACATAGCATTTACATGGAATTATGTATTACAAGCAATCTAAAGTATACAAAAGGATTTGCGTAGGTTACATGCAAATACTTCACCATTTTGCATAATGGACTTGAAAATCCATGAATTTAAAAAAGTTAAAAAAAGGACATTGATAAATTTTGTTATTCATATGGGTCCTAGACTATATCTTCTGAGGATACTGAGGGATGGCTGTACACACATACATGTAGTAGGTTTTGAGGTTTTCTCAGAGATTGTCCTCTATAATGTACTTCCTTCTAAAAAAAAAAAATTTTTGAGGATTCAGGTATCCCTGCCCACCTCCTTTTTAAAGGCCATTTTATGGATATGTCAGATCTTATTTAATGCCTCTGTTGATAAATTTGTAGTCATTTGCATATTTTGCTTTTATAAGTAATGCTGAAATTTGTAGGCTTTTATTTTACCAAATGGTTTTTAATGTTAGTAGTAGTACATGTTTGTGGTATATTGGGATTACATTCAGATTGCAGGGTTGATACCTATACATATCACAGCTCAGTCATCTTTACTCATCCTGCTCCCCCTCCCTACCATCTCCCTCTGTCCCCATATCCCCTTTCCAATATATTTTTTTTTTGGTACCGGGAATTGAACTCAGGACCTTGCACTTGCTAGGCAGGCACTGGGCCACTGAGCTATATCCCCAGCCCACCTCCCTGTTTCTTAACATGGCTCTTTTATTTTGTTCATTAAATTATAAAAATAACTTTACTGCCATATTGACCCAGAAAGAATTTATCAATTTGTCTTAATAGTCCTTGTTTTATCTCAAATGAATAATAGGTTTATAAAATTATATTATGGTTTATATTTTCTCCCAAAGCATTTAAGTAAGACTTCCATCACATATTAAGTTCTTATTTATATTTGTATGTGTTTCTGAATTTTTAGTCTGTTCCACTGATTTAATTTTTCTTCTTGTGCTAATATAACTAGGGTATTTTCTAACACCCAAAACCAATTCCCTGCAAACACACCAGTTGGGTATCTTGTAATTTAATTAAATTCTGATGCTGTTTACGTAGACAGCAAACCCAACAAGCTACGGGCTCAGTGACACGTGATTGCCCTAGTTCAGATGCCCATCACAAATTCAGGATAGTCACACTTCTGCCCAACTGGGTGTAAACTGGGAGAGCCCACAACCCTGCCCTTGGGTTCAGTAAGTTGCTGGAACAGCTCACACAACTCAGAGAAGCATTTGCTTACATTGACCACTTTATTATAACGAGTATCATACAGAAGAACAGCCAGATGAAAAGGAACAAAGGGTAAGGTGCACAAGGGCCCTGAGGAGAGATGCTTCTGTCCTGCAGAGCTTGGGTATACCACCCACCTAGCATGTGGACGTCCTCATCACCCTGAACATTCATGATATGCCAAGGTTTGAGAGCTTCCATACAAATTTATCTTCAGTCATCACCCCAGAGACCAGTGGATGAGGCCAAAAGTTTCAACCCTTTAATTGTTTGTTCTATCTGGGCACCAGCCTCATGCTGAGCCTATCTGAGAGCCCCTCCCTCAGTCCCTTCATTACCATTAACTCAGATACAAACCAACCATTATGATTAAAAACTTCAACCCTAAAGTACAGAACTGTGCAGTGCCATCAACAGCTGGACCTAACTGACACTATGCAGTATTCCCCCCCAGCAACGGCAGAACGCACACCATTTTCAAGTGCACATGTAACTTTCGCCAAGCTAACCCTACCATAGGTTATAAAACAAACCTTAACACATTTAAACAAACTAAAATTATACAAAGTATGTCATCAGATAACCAGGGAATTAAGTTCAGAGCCAATAACATAAAGAATTTTAAATCATCAACACTTAAAAATGAAATGATCCATTTTTTTTTACTATTCCATTTTGAATTTGTTGTATAAAAAATAATAACATTCAGTGCAAGGAATTTGTACCTGTACATGATATAACTTGATTCCTTTTTTTTGTCCCCATTCCCCTCCCCTCCTTTCAACCCCTCTTCCCCTGCTTATTTACAAAAGCTTTGTTTCCACTTTGCTTCTTTTCTCATCATTTTTTCCCTTTTCCCTTCCTTCCAAATGATGCATTTCTAGTACCAGGAATCGAACTGAGGACCTTGTGTTTGCCAAGCAGGTGCTGTGCCACTGAGCTATGTCCCTGGACCTTAAATGATGCATTTCTAAATAATCCATAGGTTAAAAAAAAAAGTCTCTGACAATATCTCCCCAATGTGACACTCATTA